CAATAGCATCATCCCTCCAGATCAGTTCTCCCTTCACCATGCCTCAGTGGATAATGCAATAAAGATGATCAAGTTCACAGGGCACGGAGCTCGGCTCTCCAAAGCGGACATTACCGATGCCTTCAAATCATCCCCATTCATCCGTCTCAGTGGAACTTGTTCGGTATTAAGTGGGAGTCCAAACTCTATCTTCGCGTTCGCCTGACCTTCGGGTGCAGAAGCAGCCCCTGCATCTTCAATTCCTTCTCGGAAGCGCTCTATTGGATCCTGCTGAACATCGTCAGAATCCCCTCCGTCCTTCACCTACCGGACGACTTCCTCCCCATAAACCCGCCACAGGACAGCTCAGGGATCTCACTGGCCAAGCTTAAACACTGCTTCAGGAGTGAGGTGTCCCTCTCTCCAAAGAGAAAACGTTAGGTCCCGTCACACGCTTAGAGTTCTTAGGCATCATCCTCGACTCCATAGACATGAAGGCGTCTCTCCCCTCAGACAAATCGCAGCGCATCCAGGACATCACCAAGTCATACTGCGAGCAACAAGTTATCACAAAACAACTGTCGCTCTCCCTTCTCGTACACCTCAACTTCGCCATGCACATCATCCCCCAGGGACGCTCGTTCATCTCCCGCCTCCTGGACGCAGCATCAGCGGTCGACAACCTCCATGACTGCGTTTTCTTAGACGAAGGCTGCCGCTCAGACCTTCGGTTCTGGTCCCTCCTGCTCGCCCACTGGAACGGAATTACTTTATTTTACGATGGCCTCGTGCGTTCCTCTGACTCAATGAGGTCTTCACGGATGCCGCCCATCCATGGGTTTTGGGGGGTTTCTTCCAGGGAGAGTGGTTCGCAGGGTCATGGCCCCGTCAATTTCTACCTCAAGCAAGTTCTCACTAAATCCAGCCTATCACCCATATCATACCCGGGGCATTCCTTCAGGATAGGTGCAGCCACCTCTGCTGCTAATCAAGGTCTCTCTACCTCATCCCTACAACAACTAGGACGGTGGTCCTCCTCCGCCTTCACAACCTTCATTCGTCCGGACATCAGCGCCGTACGGGCTTCCCAAAGATCTCTCAGACCCTAACTATGATAGTTATACATATAACTGTTGGTGGCTCAAACACATTCACAAGTATACATGTCTCACTAAGGTTCCCGATATTCAAAACTGCATTCCTGTCCTAATTCCGCGGGCCCCGCCCACAGGGAATAATGTCTCGTCTCACGCTGCAACCACATGTAACGGGCTTCATCTCCGGCACACAGGTATTTCATTCTCAGGCCTTGCTCAAACGTATCAGTGTAAAATGTATTTCCTGCAGTCCGCGTGGACTCGGGCCACCGTACACTCCGGTGTCAGTTACAAAACAAAGGAAATAAAGAAAGAGTAAAGAAAAAGATATATATAGCCTGCGAAGTCAGGCGTGGCGGAAGGCCACCGTACACTTCGGTGTCAGTTACAAAACAAAGGAAAGAGAAAGAAAAATATATATATATATATATATATATATATAGCCTGCGAAGTCAGGCGTGGCGGAAGGCCACCGTACACTTCGGTGCCAGTTACAAAACAAAGGAAAAAGAAATGAAGAGTAAAGAAAAAGATATATATATATATATATATATAGCCTGCGAAGTCAGGCGTGGCGGAAGGCCACCGTACACTTCGGTGTCGTAGCGGAAGGCTACCGTACACTTCGGTGTCGTGGACGTTGGGCCACCGTTACAAAACGAAACCGCTCGCTCCTCGGCGTAGTCAAGCCCTGCTGGCCAGGCATGCGACCCGCAGGTCGTTGTCAGGTAAGACCGGCACTGATTTCGGCAGTCAGAGTCTCAGCATGACCAGTAAGCTCCGGCAGTGATTCCGGCACAGTGTCGCTCATATACGTGTTAATCTATTATCTCTCCTTCCCAGATCACCAGTCACCCCACAAGGTAAGCAACTCAGTTCATCTCAGTATTCATACTTCACTGGTTTTGGGGATTTCATCGGAGCGGTGCTTTCCCTCCTGAATGATTATCCTGCAAACCGGGGCCTAATCGCCAAACACCATTACATTCTCCCGTTGTATTATCATGGCAATCATTTCATTCATATGACGTGTAAACAATAAATATGTAATTCTTACATCACGTCTCTCCGGTTTGAAATGAAAGCTTTAGCGCAAGTTCAATAAGGAAGACCTAACTCGAGTCACTCACACGTCACTCTATGGCTCCCTTCCCCCCTCATTAAATACGAGGGCGTCACCCCTCAGCAGCCAATCGCTGCACATGCTAAATGCCTTAAATGCCTGCTCTTCCTCCCTGTCAGTTGTCATTGCAGATGATCACACGCAACCCGCCTCCACCCCTCTCGCCTCCTGTCTCCTTCAGAACAAAACTAAACCTTCCTCCTTCAGACCGGTCTCACCTACTCATCACCACCACCAGTGTCTAGACCCCGGGGATTTCATCGGAGCGGTGCTTTCCCTCCTGAATGATTATCCTGCAAACCGGGGCCTAATCGCCAAACACCATTACATTCTCCTGTTGTATTATCATGGCAATCATTTCATTCATATGACGTGTAAACAATAAATATGTAATTCTTACATCACGTCTCTCCGGTTTGAACTGCAGTACTTTAGATTCACCCCTGCTCCAGGAGTTTCAGAGGACTTACTCGATCTGACTCCATGCATGCGCCTAACCTTCGACCCAGTACCGCATAAACTGTGTGCTGCACCTCGAATATGAGGAGTTTACCAGGAGGGACAAAGTTCAACACAACTGAAATATTTGGGATGATGAATATTGATTGGATGTGAGAAGTGCTTATGTGCAAGCAATCAAAAATGATTATATAGTTATTACTGGTTATTTATGCAGAGCACAATCATTCTAAATATATTACATAATGTCTTCCTTGTAACTTGAAATGTAAAATACGAATGAATGTAACTATTTTATCTTGAAGTTTTACATTTTCCAAGTTGAGTAACACAGCAATAAAGTTATAAACTTTAAGGAACTCTCCTCATCAAAAACGCTTCAAAATCAATACGACAAATCTTCCTGCAGCAACCCTATCCACCAAAGATAATGTGATTTTTAAAGGGATATACAATTAAAACCAGTCTGACCAAAGTAGAGGGTTCCCCAATGTCTTCATATGTCACTGTACATTTATCGTCCTCTCCAACATTATGTATCTGTGAAACAAAATTGAACAAATGTGTCCACCTATCGTCAAAATAAAACATTTCATAATGTATTTTTTTATTTTAAACATTACAATATCGCAAATAAAAGCATTTATTTCTCGCTTTTGTTCCCTGAAATAAAAACTTTAACTTTAAGTAACTGGAATGATTCTGACTAGTTCTTATCCTAATGTTGACAAGACAACCATTGCTAGAGACACAAATAAACAATAATTAACCTCCACAAACCTGGAACAAAACTTAATCTTGTAAATATATATAACATTTTAGCTGTAGCTTTCCTGGTCTATACAATCCCTATTGGCTACAGAGGTTTCCACTAGGTGCAATATTACGTATTTGTAATATTTAGCAACCAAACAAAACATACCTTGAGGTGTTGTTGAAATGACACTGATAAAGACAATATTTTCAACATAATAACATATTAACATTGCCATGTCCATGTTCTGCAGGTGTTGCCACCAACATCCTTCCCTGTAACCTTTGTTTTAAGCAGCAAACATATCGCTGTCTGTTTGATTTAGCTTGTAGTCATTACCAATTCTTATTTTGTAAGTACATAAATGCATTACTTCTGTTTCTGACAAAACAACCATCAGATGAGGCTGGGTGAAAGTTGAGAGAGAGCAAGTTATAATAAAACTTGATATGGTGATCTTTGCCACCAATCTATTACAAGTAATTTGAGATAAGTTATAAATGTGACCCAGTTAAGTTGATCATTTACCAGGGTTCAAAATATCTTGGTTGCAAGGTCATGTTTGGCCAGCTGGTGAGAAATTAGCTGTCTCGTCTACCCCTCTCTATGAAAGTCTGCTTTTCAAATATAGCAGTTTAGATCAACTCTCACTTTAACTTGAACTAGTCTTTCCTTTATTACATGACATTACATGTCACTTGTTAGACGCTTTTATCCAACACCTTCAAAAAACACCTCAAACACCATCTGTTCACTCAGGCCTTTGGCCTCAACTAATATACAGTACTCAGCAACCTGTTCCTGTTTTGTTTTCTTCAGCCTATGTATCTGTATGATTATTATTACTTTTTCTTTTGTTACTTCCCATTGTAAAGCGTCCTTGGGTTTCGTGAAAGGCGCTATATAAATTGAAATTATTATTATGATGATCTTTGCCACCAATCTATACATTGGATAGAGTCCTGTGACGTTTATTGAATCCAATAAAGTTAATGTTTTTTTTTACAATACAGTTTTTGAAATCTAGGTAAATCATTAATCTGAGTTTGTCCATGTGTCTGTGTCCTAGTTTCAGGGAAACCCTTGTGGCATTGACCCGATCTCTAATTCAAAACATTTGCAAAATACCTGCCAGAAATGTCAGCCGCAAGTAGTGTGTCTGCCTGCCCTTTATGAAAAGTGCGGTGAGATAACTTCTATGAGCAAATGCTCAAACGTTTGCAATGTAATCAGTTTGCTGCTGATCATGTAATCATTAAAGGATGTATCGTATAACTATAATATTTCCTTCTTTCTCCATTCAAAATGCTTGTGTACTGTGAGTCTGAGTCGATGACAATGAGAGTGCATGAATACTGTTTTGACCAGTAGAATAATGTCAGCACAGACAATCATTACTGCAGGCCCCCACTCACCCCTCCACCCAACCCAACACTGTGTCCATGGGTTATTGGTATTTGGCCAAAATGTAATCTCACTTGTCCTATCAACCTCTGTACAGGCCAAGCCAATCCCTCGATGATCACATGACATCTGAGGTAGCAAAAGTGCAAATCAATCTTGTTAATGTCAAACAGAACAAATAGACTGTTCTCAAAAGTTCTAATAAGATCAAAGGAGCAGCTACTAAAATAAATCTCTCCTCCTCACTCAACCAGAGCCAGCTGCATTCACACAGCAAACAAGTTAGAGTTGGAGCAACTTCAGAACACTTGATTAAAGTCATGGGAATATTAGATATTTTTCTCCAGGCCTCGAGTACTAGCTCTCTTTTGGGAGCTCTGGTGGTCTTGGTGCTCGTCTACATCGTCTCCTCCTCCAGCTTCGGATCCCAGGACGAAGGAAAGGGACCTCCAGGTCCGAAACCACTTCTGCTACTAGGCAACCTGCTGCAGCTTGACCTTAAGAGACCCTACCACACATTACTGGAGGTGAGGCATTGGCGTACAAGAAGCTTTCTTTTAGAGTCAGTTTCTGCTTATCACAAAGCTCTCTTGTCTTGTTTGCTTTATTCTGTGTGTTTTGAAAAGAAAATGTAATGACATTATGTTGTTCTTAAGCTTTCCAAGAAATATGGATCAGTGTTTACCATCTATTTGGGACCCAAAAAAGTGGTGGTCCTGGCAGGATACAAGACAGTAAAGGAGGCACTTCTCAATCGAGCTGAAGAGTTTGGAGATAGAGACATGCTGCAAATTACGCATGATTATAATCAAGGCCACGGTAATAAATGTTTTACCAAATACTTATCCTTTTCATTTCCACATCCTTTGCCTTCGATGATTTAATTCCATGACATTGTTTGCTGAACTACATTTCAGGGGTTCTATGGTCCAACGGTGATTCATGGAAAGAGATGAGGCGCTTTGCCTTGACTAACCTCAGAGACTTTGGGATGTGTAAGAGGGCTTCTGAGGACAAGATCATTGAGGAATGTGAGCACCTCATAGAAGTGTTTAAGAAATGCAAAGGTAAGTGTCTTATATTATTTGTATGATAACCAACACTTGTCAAGACAATGCATGTGATATTTATAATTTCACCATTTCCCTTTTTACAGGAGAAAATGTTGATACAACTCAATCCATGAACTATGCGGTCTCTAATATTATCTGCTCAATTGTTTATGGCAGCAGATTTGAATATGATGATGCAGAGTTTACATCACTGGTAGATCGAACAAACAGAACTATTCAGCTTGTGGGCGCACCATCGATACAGGTCATCAAATGTTTTAACGCTTAGACTTTCGAATGTGATTTACATAATACATCCATTGCGGCAACTTATTGAACAAATATTGCATTTTTTACTTTCTTTTTTTCAACAATTTCTTTAACAGGTATATAACTTGTTTCCATGGATCGGTAAATTTGTCGCTCACAGAAAGGAGATCAATATGTTGATTTCTGCCAACACAAAACAGAATCAACACCTCTTTAGTCGTTTGAAAGAGACCCTCAATCCACAGATGTGCAAAGGCTATGTGGATGCCTTTCTTCTCCGCAAAAAAAATCTGGAGGTTGGGAAGCAACATAACCACATCTCTGCTGTTGATATCTGAAAAGGGAAATTACATTTACCTGGTCACAATGTTGTTCAACATCATACATTCTTTAATTGATTAAAATAAATACTGATATTTAATAATCAAATTATTTTTGCAAAAATTGTAAATGAACAAATGGAAGTTTTGAAATGTTATTTCCACAAGTTGTAACTAAATTGATAATAGTCAGCCCTTTTCATTAAAAGAAAAAAGTATTGCAATAAACTCACTCAACCATCACTACTACCTCAAAAAACAAGATCAAATTCCCTTTTATGTCACTTGTCAAAGTGTGGGAACAGGTTTGTTGACTGAAAGCACCGATTCATATTTACTTGCAGGAATCTGGGATTACGGACAGTCATTTCCACGATAAAAACCTGATGCAGACAATTCATAATCTCTTTAATGCCGGGACTGACACAACAGCAACAACGCTGAGATGGGGACTTCTGTTTATGGCCAAGTATCCAAAAATACAAGGTTAGGGGCCTAAATTCTAAACAAATGTCTTACAATTAACAGTCCAATCAGCAATATTTTCTTTACCAACAAAAACATCATCTTCATGAAGTCAAAAACGTTTTCTTCTGCCAGACAAGGTCCAAGAAGAGCTGAGCAGGGTGATAGGAAGTCGTCAAGCCCAGGTAGAGGACAGGAAGAGCCTGCCTTTCACTGACGCTGTCATCCATGAGACACAGAGACTGGCTAACATCGTCCCCATGGCACTTCCTCACAAAACGAGCCAAGACGTAACTTTCCAGGGTCACTTCATTAAGAAGGTCAGAATGAATGAAAAACGGTGCAATACATTTCCTTTCATCAATGATAAATAAAAACAAACCAGAGTAATGAAAATCCAATTGTATTTTGTCCACAGGGGACCACAGTGTATCCTCTCCTGACATCCGTCCTGTATGATGAGAGTGAGTGGGAACACCCCCACAGTTTTTATCCTGCTCACTTCTTTGACAAAGATGAGAAGTTCATCAAACGAGATGCCTTCATGCCTTTTTCTGCAGGTTGGTGAATTTAGCCATCACTTCTTGATGTGCACTGACTTGCAGGTGAGATGATCATATTCTCTTTCATTTATTTCTCTTCAACGTCGCCGGGTTTGTCTTGGAGAGAGTCTGGCCAGGATGGAGCTCTTCATCTTCTTCAGCAGCCTCTTGCAACACTTTCGTTTTACTCCTGCTCCAGGAGTTTCAGAGGATGAATTGGATCTGACTCCACGCACAGGCTTCACTCTCAACCCTTCACCTCATAAACTGTGTGCTGTTTCCTGTGACCAGTAGGGCTTGGAAATGCTGCTTAGTCCCACTGTCATCACTTCATATTCATTAAAATTCAGGAGTTCTGATTCTGAGTCATTCTAATGAGTTTAGCATGATATTTCATGTAGTGCAATAGGACTAAATATATACAACTTCATTAATGTCCTTATCACCTTCAAAAATAAGAACAAAATGAAAATCGCTCACGTGGTGAGGAACAACACTTTTCAATAGCACAAAAAGAGCATAGACCTGACTGTGGCAAGAGACAAGACCTTACCATGGCAATAGACCAAACGCATAAACCTGAACATGACAAGAGACAAAAACGAACCGACACTGAACACTGGGAGACAGGGGAATTTAAACACAGGGTAACAAGACACAGGTGGGAACAATCAGGGGCGGGGCTGACACTGATGAGCACAGGAGACACAGAAGGGGTGACAGGTGAAAACAATCAGGAAATTAGACACACCAGGGAAACTAACGACAGACAGGAAAACACGGGGAGAAAGACCAGACAATACACAGGGAGGAAAACATGACAAGGAGAACAGAAAAACACCCACTACCAGACACACAAAACTAAAAACGTGACACAACACAAGAATCGTGACATTTTGACTGAATAGTACTGAACACACTATTGACATCTTGTAGGAAACTAACATCCAAATGTTTAAAGGCACTCTGACTGTCTTTTTTTCATAATAAAGTATTATTGAAAAAATATATGTCTGTGTATCCCGGACACGTCATATTCATGCCCAGTAAATATGGGTCTCGACTCACGATGTTACCTGAGGTAGTGTAGAAATACATTTTGTCACGTTATAACACATATCCACAATAAACATCCATAATAAAATATAAAATTGTGCAGCAAGTCACTATCACTCATATACAAGACTCATAGATAACTGAGGTGCTTCGCTTGTTCTAGCAAACTTGTTGACACAATCCTATAAAATACAACAGACACAGACACAAACTTTTGTGTTCAATGGATGGCTGATATTTTGTCTAAATTGCTATTGTTTTTATGAAAATCAAGCAAAAAGTTACCAGCAGGAAAAGGCACACGTATTTATTGTTGTGTAGGGGCAAAATTAAACTTTTAATTTTAACAACGTACGTACTTGGTTTTGTAAAGAAATGATCAACAGAGATAAGAATGAGTGAAAGATAAAAGAAAACAACATAACAACTTCATATGAAACGTTTTATCAAGATGATCTTTAACACCATTTTATGTTAAGTCATTTGATGCATATATGATCCAGTAACATTAATCATTTCAAGAGTTTTCTAAATCAAACATTGATTAAAGCCAATCTTAAAAATTTAACAAACGCCTGTTTGCGACTCCTCAGTGCACACAAAAACATAACTTGGAGGAATAAATAAATACGGATATGTTATTTAAAACCACCTCGAATATGTTGTGTTAATGTTATGAAATGTTTTCTCATAAATTATGCCGTAAGCAGGAGGACAGAATTACGTCTAAACTGACGCCGTTTTGCATTTCTATAGGTTGTAGATACGAGCATGGTTTTAAATCGTGTTTTATGCCGTTTGCCAAGTCTTGATAAGTCGCTCGTAAAACACAGGAGGTATGGAAACTAAGAACACCATATGTCAGATCCAGTCGTCATGACTCCACTCCGGAGGGATTCCCCGATCATTTCTTACAGTCTCTCATCAAGGGGGTGTCTCCAGTCCCCGGTACAAACACACTGCCTGAGGAAGGCTATGTGTATTTATTTTGTCATGAACCTTTTTCAGACCACTTATTTATTTATTTTGGTGACGATCCGACCTCCATGCTGCTACTCTGGATCAAACTGCATCCACCGAACAATATGATTTATCTCGACCTCCCCAAAATAACCAAAATCTGACACGGTGTGAGATGTCTTTTTTAGCTGTTCTGTCGTCATTTCCTGCGATCTTCTTCATAAAGTCAGTCAAAATGAATGAATGAATGGGCGTTTCTTTGACTATTTATAGGCAAATATGGGCGTTACGTGAAGCCCGCAAAAGCTGCACCGCATTTCGATTCCATTGTGATTTATAAAGGGAAACCGGCGTAGGAAGTGCCGTACGCACTTTCCTCGCCGGTACGCAATGTTTAGTGAATCGGAAAATGTTTGAACATTTCTGTACCTATTTTTTGGATTTCTACTACGTAAGCAACCTTCCCACGTGAATCCTACGCACGGCGTTATAAATGAGGCCCCAGGACTTGTCCAGGTTAAACCTCTCCTTAACCTCACTAGTCTCTAACCTCTGTACAGACCAAGCTAGCTCTCTGCGTCTGATCATATGACATTTGAGATAAGAAAACCGTAAACCAATATCAAAAACAAACACTCTCTTCTGAAGTGTGCTGATAAGAACAAAGGTTGAAACCAGCCCTACCCTTGGCAGGGCTGTTTCCCTCAGCAGCAAATATAAAAGAAATGACTCTTCAACACACAAAGCACAACATCCAGAATCGTTTTTTTCAGTAAGCTGTCAAGAACGCTTTTTCTTTTTTTAAATCATGGGGATAATAGATGTTCTCCTTCAGTCTTGCAGCTCTATCTCCTTGTTTGGGGCTTTGGTGGTCCTGCTGCTCGTATTTATCGTCTCAACCTCCAATTTTAGTTCCCAGGATGAAGGAAAGGAACCTCCAGGTCCAAAACCACTTCCCATCATCGGAAACCTGCTGCAGATTGACCTTAAAAGACCCTACCACACATTTCTGGAGGTGAGAAAATGACTGGAATAACAAGCATGTCTTTAAGGGTGATTTGTTGGATGTGCACTTCAGGTAGCAATGTCACAAAGGTTCAATCAAATTAATTTGTGTTTTTGGTTACTTAAAAAAAACTTGACATTATGCCCCGGTATTCTTAGCTTTCCAAAACATATGGATCAGTGTTCACAGTATATTTGGGATCCAAAAAAGTGGTGGTCCTGGCTGGATATAAAACAGTGAAGGAGGCCCTTGTCAACTACGCTGAAGAGTTTGGAGACAGAGATACAATGCAAATCATAGCGGAAACTGGTAACAGCCATGGTAAGGAAAGCAAGATTTGTTTACACAAAATATTTGTTCTTGTTTGTTAAAACAGCTGATTGGGCAGTAGGCAACAATTTGATCAAATACGACGCAGCCATAAACTTGGTTGCAACCTAGTCTAATCTTGTTTAACTTAAAACATTTTTTAATCTTAGGCGTTATATTTTCCAACGGTGAATCATGGAAAGAGATGAGGCGCTTTGCCTTGACTAACCTCAGAGACTTTGGGATGGGTAAGAGGGCTTGTGAGGACAAAATCATTGAGGAATGCACAAACCTCATTGAAGTGTTTAATAAATGCAAAGGTAAGTGTCTTATTAAAACCAACAACATGAGAAACAGCATTTTGCCAATGCTTGTGATTCCTTTTTTATGTTCCTGTAATCCTTTCTACAGGAAAAGCTTTTGATACAGCCCAACCAATGAACTGTGCAGTCTCTAATATTATCTGCTCCATTGTTTATGGTAGCAGATTTGAATATGATGATCCTGAGTTTACTTCATTGGTAGAAAGAACAAACAGGAATATTCAACTCCTGGGCTCCCCGTCGATACAGGTGCTATTTCATATGTTTATTAAGCTTACACTTTCAGATGTTGTTTTAATGTTCATATACAATATGAACATGACAAATGTGTCACTTGTCTTTTGAACACTATTTCATTGCCAGTTCGTTTTGAACAGGTATATAACATGTTCCCATGGATTGGTAAATGGATTGCTAACAGAAAGGAAGTCCACACGATGGTTGCTGCAAACAAGGAACAGAATCGACGGCTGTTTACACGTTTGAAAGAGACCTTCAATCCACAGATGTGCAGAGGCTTTGTGGACTCATTTCTGCTCCGAAAGCAAAATCTGGAGGTTGGCAAGAATTTCATCACCAACCTTAACAAAAAACACTGGTTGATCAACCCGTTACTGCTTTGTTTGTCTACACTCTCCATAGGCCACAAGTAGATTTATTAGTGAGAAAGATTGAGGTGCAAGCCTTTAATCAGTAGTGAAAATGTACATTGTTGGAATCAAGAAAATTATATTCTTATTTATGAACAATTGTTCTTCATCATAGATATCATAAATAGAATCCTAGATGTGTAAAAATTAGGGATGCACCGATCAGAGTTCCCGTTAGAATATTTTTTCGCCGGTCAAGTTTAAATCTTCCGAACAAAATTTGAAAGTTCCGGTCAAAGGTCTTCTTTGTTATTTATTTAGCTTTAAAACAAATTGATATGATTCGATATTAAACAAACGAATTATAGTAGATTAACTATTCAAAAGTGTACAGGAATTTACAATAACACGGGAATAATAAACGGAGCGCTCTCTCCCTCTCCTGACAGCCCGTCAGTATCATGCAGCTCGCAGATCAGTAATGAGTGACCCGACAGTAAAACTAAACATATCAATAACTAGTTTAGGTAGTTTGAGAGGTCATTAAAATAGCTATGTGTGATATTCTAACCTGAAGTGTGTGTTTTGTTCCGCTCACCGCTGCATGTGATTATGCAGAGCTGCGTGCCGACTCGTCAGCAGCAGCTGATCTCTCTCTCCCGTCAGATTAGACTTTACTCGTCGCGTTTATGTCCATATCGATCAGATCTAGCTAGTTCTAGCTAATGATAGGTCTACCTGCTTATTAAAAGACACCTAAACAATAAGCGTCGCTATGCAACCGGGTGAGGCCGCAAAGTATAGCGCAGCATTATGCATTTGTTTACATGCCCACCGGAACCCTGAGGCATTACCAACAGATCAACGCACAATCAACCCATACAGGAAATTAGACATTAGAATTGACTATTCTTGTCTGTTACATAAGTGGCGCAAGTTGCGCAACTGATGCAGTATTGCGCTAAGGGGAAATTATTTTGACCGGACACTTTGACCGGAGAGATTTAGATTTGCCGGTCTTCAGCATATTTTACCGGTCATAGTCCGGTAATTACCGGCTAACGGGAAATCTGCCACCGATGCAACATTTCTTGGCTGATGCCGATGTTAAGAATGACAATTTGGCCGATGCCGATGTTTTAATGTAATTTGTTTCCACTGTTGTTATTCCACTTTGTGCCAGGAAAAACACATTTATTTCTCGCAAAATGGTTTCAGTTTCAAAGGCTGAGCAAGTTCGTTATTATAACATCATAGTACGCTGTTTAGAAAGTATGGAGCTCTACCGGATCACCTGCAGGTCTGCTCGCTGTGAGGGGGCCGGTGAGCGGAACAAAACACACGTTTAGATTTAGAAATCACACTTAGCTATTTCATCTACCTCTGAATCTACCTAAACTATTTAGAAATATATTTATTCCTCACTGTCGGATCACTCATTACTGGATCAGCGAGCTGCATGAGACGGATACGGACCAGCTGTCAGGGGAGAGAGGAAAAGAGAGAGAGGGAGAGAGGAAAAGAGAGCGCTCCGTTTTAACGGAACACTTTTTGCAAACTGCAAATTGCGGATCTCTGGGTGAAACAATGAAATAATCCCACACTGCCGACATTTTTTGTTTTCTTTAGTTAATGTTTTTTTTATATGTAAATGAACTACGGGTGCCGCAAATGTTATGACGGAACGCGAGAAAAAATAACAAAATCATTGGCGCCTAAATAGGGCGAACATCGTCCCTCTGGCCGATGTATGGGTGCATCC